AAAAAAAATAATTGTGGGTAACACTTTAGTTTAGGGACCAATTCTCACTACTAATTGGTTGCTTATTAGCATGTGTATTACTAGTGTATTGGCTGTTTATAAGTACTTATAAAACATATTAATGCCTTATTCTGCATGACCATAATTTACCCCATATCTAAAGTTAACAACTACCTTAATAACTATAAATGAAAATGTATTGAGACAAAAGTCATAGTTAATAGTTAGGTAATAGTGAGAATTGGTCCCTGAAATAAAGTGTGACCTAATACTGCTACATGTATTTGAATGATCTTAATTTGGGGGCTTTTTGATAAATGCCATTAATTTTAATCACTATGATTAATTACATTAATTGACATAACATGTAATTAACTATTAATATTTTACATGATTGACAGCCCTATCATTTATACAACATATTGCTCATTTACAGAGAATTAATGGTGTGCAAAGAACTACACTGGCCCTTGTTTTAGCACTGCAGATGCTGAGAATCCTAACCATTGGCATCATGCGAGTACTCGACTCCTGCCACAGTACAACGGCGAAACACCATCTTGTTTTCTGTGAGCGTGCCGGTCTTATCAGAGAAAATGTACTGCATCTGGCCCAGGTCTTCTGTGATGTTCAGAGCCCTGCACTGGAGGTGAGAGTCTGTTTCCTCATCGTACAGCTCCATGTCCTGATGGATAAAGTACACCTGGCATATCTTCACTATTTCAATGGAAACGAAGAGCGAGATTGGGATCAGCACCTGCACCAGAGAAAAAGAGAAGTAGAGAGGTTTGTTGTAGGTTCATGCAGGGTCATCATTTCAACTTCCGCTGAGCCTACAAACCAGATGGGAATTAAAGGAAACGTTCATCCAAAATTAAAGGCGAGTCATTATTTAACTGCATGGTGACTTTAAATCTAAAATAAATCGATTTCTTCTACATACGGAGCATCAATGTTAATCTGAAGCACATGGTAACATGCCCCTTACACCACTTGCTATTCACCTGCAAAACTATAATCATGGTCAGGAAGAGATAAATGGCTGAGACCACTGGAGACAAGTCTGTTCCTTCTGGGCTCAGGACGTCAAAGACAGGCCTCTTATCTCCATACTGGAACATCCACAGGCCATGTCCTAGAGGAGGTTTCAGAGACAAACACTTGACTGTATAAGGCATGGTAAAATTGAATCTTGTTTTTTTTTTTT